GACTTCACTGGAGATCACCTCCCAGGTATCCTCAGGCCCCTAAGGTGGATCACTCTTAGGGGATCACTCTGTTGGAATTAGTTATCTGTCCACCAGCAAACATTATTTTGTAAACCCATTTTACAAACATGGATACCCTTTGCATTTCATTATCAAATTGTATTGCTAAGAAATATTCTTTTCAAATTGACATATAATAATGCATGGAAATATCTGGCTAAGAATTTTATTTTGTCTATGCCCAGTTCTAATAATCCTTTCTTACTGAGTTGAGAATTGTACCTAAATTTTATGAATCAGTTTAACTTGGCACCCTACTGTCTCACGTGACAAATAATATTCACTACTGAGCCCTAGCCTTAATTCATTTATGAGTTGCTACTGTTGAATTCATTTAAAAATATGTCGTTTAGAAAAGAGCTATAAAAAGTGAGGATGCCCTAAATATAAGATCCTTAATTAGCCTAAAGGTTTTGTTCTGGTATCTGTTTTCCTTAACAAAGTGAGATATGGGGAGTTTTTTCTTCCTCTATCCTTGTTGCTGTTGTTTGATGTAGTGGGGTATGACTGGTTACTTACTAAAAGACCTCATTTGTTATGCTGAAACCTACCTAAGAAAACCTATATTTGGTAACTATCTCATAAAGATATTGCTTATCTTAAGAAGTACAGGTAGTCACCTTAGTTTCTGAATTTAGAAGCAATTTAAAACTTGTTTTATTTAATAGCAAAAGGAGCACTTAAAATGGGATGACATTTCCATTAACCTACATTTCAGTTTTCAAGAAGGCTTGAAATTTTGAAAATATTGTGTGGAAAATGTAATCCACTAAAAAACTTCATGACTCAAGCAGCCCTGTCCATTCATTCACTAGCCATTCATTTATCTAATTGTAACTGGGGGTCACCATGTGTCACACCCAAGTACATAAAGATGAGAAAGGCTCAGTGCCTGCTCCCAGAGGGCACACAGTCCCACACGGGGAGAAGACAACCAACAAGCACAGTCCCAGGAAGGGCTAGTGCCAAACACACAGAACCCTGCGGAAGAAAGAACAGAGGAACGCAAATAATGCAGGTGGAGCTGGGGGAGGGAGAAGGGCGGTATCTGAAAGAGTTCCAAAAGGGGAGGTGGGTGAGACTATCAGGTCCCTGAGGAGGACATCCCAGAGGGAGGAAACTGCCTTTGCAAAGGCCTGGAGGCAGAAATATTCCAGGTCAGCCCAGCTGCATTGAAGGGACATGTGGAGAAGTGGCAACAGGTAAGGGTGTGAAAGAAGACAGGGTCAGATCACACAGATGTGTGTCACACAGAGTGTCAATGGTAAATTTCAGCTGTCTTGGATATTAAACCTTCAGTTATTAGGTTTCTCCTTTGGACTAAAAGCTGTCTGAAGACAGAAATGATTTCCTCACCAAAGCATCCACTCCTTTTTAATCCATCTGATGGCATGTGGACACACTAGAGAAAACTGACGGAGTTGTTACATCACAAGGTTTCTCTAAGTATTTAATTTCCCACAGTGCTTGACCAGATATTGTATAAGAATACTGCATAGATCCATTCTCAGATTTCTACAGGCTTATAATTTATAATATAAGGTATAACGGTTGTTATTATTTTTAATTTTCAAAACTAAAATGTCATTGCTATCTGACAGACTGAGAAACAAATTAATCATAAAGAGGCCATAAAAGCTAATAACTAAAGGAAATAAATGTACAAAAATAAATCGGTGTAAAATTATAAGTGATTGGAATTTTCAGTTTATTATGATTTATTTTATTGAGTTGAGAAATCTATTAACCTTTTGGTATAAGAAGATGAGATTTACTAGTTAAGTTAGAGGAGCTCTACTTTCATTGTCATGCAGATTGATAATATTTACAATTTAACATCACCCTCTTTCAAAATAATGGCAACATTTTGATAAGTTCCTAAAGTGCAATGACAAAAACACCATGTACTGTAATCTTCACATGCATGTGTGACACTGATCAGGGCAAGGGGATGAATGCGGTGCCAAAGCCAGTGCGAGGAGCATTCACGCTGAACGCTGGGGCCTGTGTGCTGACAGATCTGCCTGCTTCCCCTTATTGGTTCAAAGCCACCTCTGTTTTGACTAAGACATTCTACGTACTGAGCCTAAGCTACTGGTCTATCTGCTCGCTATTTTTGCAGGGAATCAATTGCTATGACTGTTTATAATAATAATAATTATTATTACTATTATTATTAATATTAAATTGATACATTCTTATGAAGGTTTCACATGAAAAACACTGTGGTTACTACATTCACCATATTATCAACTCCCCCTCATCCCCCATTGAAATCACTGTCCATCAATGTAGTAAGATGTCACAGAGTCACTATTTGTATGATGGTTTTTTTAAAGTGCTTTTCCTCCCCGTAACCCAGCTCTAGGAGCTGCCCAATCCATCCACCAACAGGCTTGGGAAGGGGCCTGTCTTCAGTCAGCAGTGTGGTGCTAGAACCAGCTTCTCAAACTGGGGGACACACAGGCTCATCTGAGTGTATGACTTTGAGCCAGGGAGAATACGAAGCCACGATAAAGAAGGGCACATCTTCCTCTAATTGTTTGCTCAATGCTCAACAAGTGAAAACAGTTTTGTATTAAAATAACATGTGGAATATACTATGGAATATAATGGGTATAAGATTTGTATCATTTCTAAAGATAACACATTAAGACTCCAAGGAAATTGTATGTTGGTAGAAGTTTGTTTTAACCACGTCCCTAGGGACCTGGGGTAATAAGTCTGTTCTTTGGTGCCCTGGAGGGTACTTGGGTGGAAAAATCCAGAAAGCAGTAATGTAGTGCAAAGAGCACAGGTTTTAGAACCACACACAGCTGAGTCTGAAACCCTGCTCCTCCAGAGAGTCTGACTTTGACCAAGTCACTTTACTTTAAGCCTCCATGTCCTCTCAAACAGGAATGTTATTTGATATGAAGAACTATAAAATAGCACCAGTAGTTGACAGAGCCAGGGTGAGCTTTTAAAAAAATAATTACACCAAGTCATGCTCCTGCTTAAAACCCTGCAACAGCTATCTTTGCCCTATGAAGAAAGCCCTAAATGGCTCTAAACCTTTCAGGTCACAGACCCCTTTGGTGGTCTGGTGCAGCCCATGGGTCCTTCTCAGAAAAATGTTTTAAATAAAATACATATGATTATAAAGGAAACCAAACACACTGAAATAAAGTTAAAGTATTAATGAAAAATTCATGCTACAGTAATATACATGTTTATCAACATCAAGTAACAAAATACAGCAGCAGTTTCTATAACTACAGTAATTTTGAAGTGTGATGAACAAAGAACATTTTGGGATTTCTGCAAAAAATGCAATTTGATATGAAGATATCTGCGATTCTCAGTTGGGCAAGTCATAGGGACTTTACTACTGCGGGTTGTTTTTTCTCTTTGCCTACATTCATGACTGAAGGAAATGCCAAATTTCATTTAGACGTTAGTGTCAATGATGTTATATGTAGATGTTAGATGAAATGTATCTTTTCTCACCCAAGTTTGTGGAATCCTGGGTTCCATTCATGGACTCTGAAGAGGTCCAGGAACAAAGACAAGAGCCAACATTCTACCAACACTGACTCTTGCTGTATTCTCTGATCTCGTCTCCCATTACCATACCTCTGCCTACTCTGGCCACACTGACACTTGCCCTTCAAAGACATTCAACTTAGCCCACCCCAGGCATCTGCTTTTGCATTCTATCTGCAATGCTCTGGCCTTGGATCTTTGCATGGTGTTTCTTTCCCACTGCCTTTAGCTCAGCTCCAATATCACCTCCTCTGAGAGGGATGTCCTGACCAATCCCATCTAATGTAGCCCCCCAAGAGCACCCTGCTGCATTTCCCTCATGATGGTTATCACTCTCTGGAATGATTGTGTTCATTTACATTTTCTCATGTTTACTTTGTTTCCCTGCCCTAAAAATCCAGGGAAGTAGAAACCTCATTTACATGTTCAGGACCATCTCCACAGCGTCTGATATACCTTCACCAAATGAGAGGAAAAATAGAACCCCACAAATGTTACTTCTCTTATCCTCACTCTGTATATTTTAGGTACTACAGGGATACAAAGAGATGAAAGACAAACTCCTGTCCTCCAGCAGTTTTCAGTCTAGAGCAGTGGGAGTTGGCTCTATGGAAGATGGAGAGAGTTCCAGTCTAGGCTCTCCTGCTCTGCTGTATGACCACAGACAAATCTCTTCTAGGGCATCAGTCTCCATGGTGCCAGATGAAGGGGTTGGACAAATTAATCTCCAGGGTCTCATATGGTCTATGGTTTATGATCACAGTGCAAGGCAGCATATGTGGCAAGTGAGGGGCTGTGACCCTAAGTGGAGGAAACTTCACACAAGAGAACAGACTTGGAAGGGCTTTGAAGTGTATTCAGCATCTAGGGATTTTCAGTCATGAACTCTCAGTGTTGAAAGGCTTTAAAGGCTACCCAGCATGACCACTAGGTATGCTTGGGACATATCTATATGAGTCCATTTCTGGAGACCCAACAAAATACCTTAGCTCGCAGACAGAACCGAGCATGGTGGTTAAGGGTATGAACTGTAGAATGACTGTCTGGGTTCAAATTGCGGATGCATCCCTTACTAGCTTTGTGAATTTAGGCAAATTACCAAACTTCTCTACATCTTAGTTCTCTCCTCTGTAAAATGAGAATAACAATAGTACTAACTTCATGGGGTAATGGTTAAAATTAAATGAGAAAATGAATGCAATGTGCTTAGCACATATTCAGTAATTGCTACTTATAATTCTTTCTCTTGAATGGTTTTCTAGTGTGTCAGACTTACTATGTAGCCTCCAAACCATTTGTAATGGTTTACTATGTAAACCTCCAAACCTTCTTCCATGGTAATTGAGTTTTTACTGGTTTGGGACTCCATTATCCAGTTTGGAGTTTCTGCAAGCCAATATATAACTGTATCTTACCTTCTCCTTGACATTCACATGAGTATTGAGTTCAGCCATTTTACCTCTAGTGGAATAAGTCCTGTAGAAGAGAAAAAGATAAACTTAAAATTTTTTAAATTGATTTCTCAAATGTGTTATTTTTATGCTCTCTTCAACAGAGTAGACGATTTCATTCGGCCACAACCATAAATACCATTTTAGAATGTGAAAATACTTTCAAGCTAAGCACTTGTTTTAGATATGTTCTAAAAGCATGTCACAATAACTCTAGAAGACAATGTAAAATCTTTGATTCATACTGTATTGACATGAAAAATGACAAAGACAGACGGGTATGCTCCCAAACTGTGCTTCTTATTATGGTCAAGAAAGGTGGTCCAAAATAGTGAGAGGAGGAAAAGGGTACCCTTAACTAATAAGCACTGTCATCAAACTCCTTACTGTCCCAAAGCTTTTATTAGCCTCTAGATAACATAACAAACATTTATTGAGTCTTTCCTGCATGTATGTAACAACCCCGAAGTACTCCAGGAAGAAACAGGAGAAATAGTTCCAGATTTAAACATAAGAAATGCTGTACATAACAGTTTCTAGACTTGCTTTTTCATTTGTCAACATATGAACACGTTTCTGGATCCATACATACATACCTTCACCATATTTTTAATGACCATAAATTCATGACCTCTAGTCTCAAATGAACTCTTAATATTGCCCAAAAGTCTTTTGTTCCCCCAAATTCTTTAGGTTTTCTGCCCTTAGTGTTCAATCTTCTTTGTGCAGTGGCCCATTCTGAGAAGATCTATATTCCTAACAAGCTGCGGTATTATTTTTCTTCTTATCTGATCTAAATATTTCACTGTTATTATGGAAGATAGCTCTCAAGTCTTTAATAGTCTCAATCTCTTTTTGAAATAGAGCATAAATGACTGAAAATGGGCTAACAGATGGGTTCAGAAATTAGCAGTTAGAAGACAGTCCAAGATATGAATATACTACCCATTTGCATGTTTAATGTTTTTTGTCAGTCAAGAACCATGAAAACTCTTACGTTCTTTTTGACTTTTGCTACAAATCTTGTAAAAATTCTCTGATTTCTCCCCACTATTTTCTTTTAAACCTAGGCCTTAGAGAAAACATAATTTCATATCCATTACCTTTTGTTGATTTAGGATGAAAGCTTGACAATATGTAAATGGAACTCAACTACTACTCAAATAAGAATCCATATAGACACATTATTGTATGTTATCAAATATTAGAAACAGCAAGATTTTATTTTTCTAAGTTTCCAAGTAATATTGCCACTGACACATACATTCGGGCATGCTAGCAGGAGAGACCTGTGTAATAAGATACCATATGCTCTGCAAGAAGTGCCCATCCCAATGAATACAGTCCCCATTTCAATAACTTCCAAATGGTAAATTCTATACCCTCTGATTTAGCTTATGGGAGCACGTAAATAATATGAGCCGTTACATAATAGGTGAATTTAATTCTCGTTTATTTCTGCTCCTGAGAGTTACTAGTAAAAGACAAGGGGATTATTTTCTGATTATCTATTAAGAGTGGATAAAAATGGTATGTGAGGTGCAAGGACAAATGATTAGGAGTCTTTGTTGGCAAGCCATAGGTAAAAAGTGAAGCCTTTGATCAGTCATCACCATGCCTGCTGGATGGTCTACAGCCATGTTTGAGGGCTGATTTTCTCATTCAAATGGAAGTTCTGGCATCATGCAAACATACTCTGCATATATGGAGTTTTCTGTAAGTGATAGTGTATGCATGCATGTGTGAGAGAATGAGGATAGGGAGGGAGGAAGATACAGGTCATACCTCAGGAACTAGAAAGGACTGAAGGTAACAGCTGGATTTGGTGCTATTTGTTAGGATGGCTCTGTGAGCCACAATTCCTTCCATTAGAGTAGATGGGCTAAATCTCCTGAACACATCTACTATTGCCATCAGAGATGTGTGAAATCTGACAGGAAAAGTTTTTTGTTTTTGTTTTGCTTTGATGTCTAGGATTGGGGTGTGAAGCATTTCTAAAGACCTAAATTTCTGAGATAAGAGTAGGTGGCAGCCCTGACTGGTGAACTCTATTCATAGGATGAAATACATTCATATTTCCTGGGCCATTCCTTTTTGCTTTGACCTCAAAGTCTATGTCAAGGAAGACTCTTCCTTGGTAGTGATGCCAGTAAGATTAGTTACATTTGTGTGTATGTGTGAAAGGAAAATTCTGGCTATGAGGGTAGAAAGGTATTACTATAGTGTTCTCAGATGAAAAGGTAAGATAAAGATTATAGGGAGCTATTCTTTGCTCATTTTACTCTCTTAAATTTCTTTCCCCTGTGTGGAAGCCTGCCTCTCCAGGCTCTAACTTGCAGGTGATTCCAATGCTCTCTCCACATCAGGGTTTGCTGGCTGGTGTATAACAGAGATTGGGAGATCAGCTACAGCTCCAGTTACGGAAACTGGATGAGCGATTTTAATCTAAACAGAACATAAATTTGGCTTGCCTTACAGAATTAAGAGTTTAAGTGGGTAGGCAAGTTAGTCTCTACTGATCAGGACAAACACTAGGACGAAGCTGGCCTTCAGCGTGCCAAACATCCTTGCAGCGTCTGCACCCTCGCTCTGCCACCAGCCCCTCCAGATCATTCAGAAGTGGCATGGCGTCTCATGCTCACTACCTTTCCTGAGCCGAGTCCCTCCTCCCTGTGAGAATGAAACTGTGCTCTGCCCCAATTCTTTTAGGATTCTGTTTTCTGCTCTGACCTGGACTGTCAGATCAACTTGATGTGAATCTTAATTGTTTAGCTTAGATACTTAAGGAAGTTTTCCTTCAGTAAACTTACTGTCATCTCCAAAATGACAGGCCTGGAGTACAGCAACCTGAAACGCCAGCCCTCAGAGATGCCGACTCCTGGGTTAATCTGAGAAGCCTCAGATGCTGTCATTGAGTGACAGTACTTGGGGCCCACAGACCTCCTTATTTCCCTCCCATCACACTTTGTCACCACACTTGGTAGTGCTTACTACTGGACATGACTGATGTCCATTCCTGACAAACCTTGATCCAAAGAGCATTAAATCCACAAGAAAGGTATGGGGATCTCTGATTTCTTGGCAAGGGACCCAGTTTCTAATTCTGATCTCTTAAGACTGTCCTTGGAACGGACCAGTTACTGAGACCTAACTATTCAAATCCATGGATGCATGTTCCCTTCCATGCATATCAATCAGCACAAATTTAAAATAGCCAGAAATACAAGTCCTGAAATTAATGCAACATTGCAATAGCTTAAGTATTACTTGAAATATTCTTCCTTAAAATTGTAGTTTAGTTTTCAATAATAACTTTACAAAGATAGTATCTAAGTTTATATATATCCTAGAGAAAAAAAATCAGCTGAAATTTTATTTATGAAATAATAGATTAATCTTACTTCATTATACACTCCATATGTGTCAAAAACTTATAAGGAAAAGATAACAATCCCAAATAAGAGAATTTCACAATTATCACCCATAACCATCTATATACTTCTCCAGTGTAAAATTAACATAACACAAATATGGTTATTACCAGTCACTCCTTGTACAAAGTTATATGTATCTGAACTACTCATTATGCAAAGGCCTTACTTAATATGTATTAATGCCAGTAAGAAAATCTATTAGTTTACAGCAAAGATAAGTATTCTTTATGAAAAATAAACCTGAAGAGTATAAATTCTGGCAAGGAAGTTTGTTTCAGTTTTCTAATTAACATAATTCAGTGACATTTAATATATACATGATAGTCTGATCAACTACCAAACTGAGCTAAAAAATATATTTATAATTCTCATGCAGTCATATAAAACATTAAAGTTAAAACAATGTATTGAAATGCCAAAATGCGTTCTGACTTCCCTATCTCAGCTGTTCCTCGTGTGTTATTGTGTAAGCAGTGCTAAAGTTTCACTTTTGTTTCTCTGAAATCTGACTGCTCTTAGATTCAGTTTCTGGTTCTCAGCTATTACATCATATTTTAAAAATTAGGTTTAAGGAACCAGAGCAATACATAAGAGCAATTTTAAAATGACGATTTTGACAATTTCTTTCAAGGTCATTTATGCAAAATTCTTCCATGATTTAAAAAGCATAAAAATCATATTGCATAATTGGGGCTGTTAATAGAATACTTTGTAAATTATCATAACATAGCTGAAGGGAAGACAGAAGTGTCAAATATCCTGACTGTAAGGCAGAGAGAGGGAAAATGAGCAAGTTGGTAGAGGCTGGGGACCAACTTGACTATCTGACTAATCATCATAGTCAATTGGGGAGCTTTTAGAAAGAGAGATGTGTGGGCCCCCATGCCAATTGGTATGGGGGGGATTGAGGCCTGAAAAAAGAAATTCCCTGAGTGATCTTCATGTAAAGCCAGATTTGAATGTGGCTAGTCTGAACTGGAATGTGCTGGGAGTGAAATATACCCTGGATGTCAATGACACTACAAAAAAGGAATGTAAACTGTCCTAGTATTTTTTTATATCGATGTGTAGAAATGATAGTATTTGACATACTGAGTTAAATAAAACATAACATTAAAATTAATTTCAACAATTTGTTTTTACCTTTTTAATGTGACTTAGACAATTTAAAATGGCCTACGTGGCTTCCATGGTACTTCCGCTGGAGAGCGCTTATCCTGGAGCCGTGGCCTTGAAGAATGGTTCCCAGATGAGCAATACCAGCAGCGCCTGGGAACTTGTTAGAAATGCGGATGCTCTTCCCGTCACCAGAAGCCTGGTCGGGGGAGGGACTCTGGGGATGGAGCACAGCAGCCCGTGTTTTAACTAGCCTTGGAGGGTACTCAGATGCTAACCAACTGAACTTTGAGAACCATTGCTCTATCCTGGGAATATTAAGAAAGGGCCTCTTCCTTGATCCCAATCACTGTACACAACAAACAGATTTTCACAGAAGCCTGGAGAGATAAATGGGGGGCCAGTTTCCTACAAATCATGTTAAGGAGTGTTTTCACCAACATATTATCAATGAACTAGTGCCCTTACGGAGCAC